CAAAGGCAATGTTCCTGCCAGCGTAGCTGCAAAGCATGTGAACCCGGAAGCTTTGATGCAGCAAACGGTTGACGACGCCCTGAGCAAAGCTGTTGCCGAAGCGTTCACGGCTGAGAAAATCCAGGTGCTTGAACGCCCTGAAGTAGAAGTAAAGAAGTTCGTACCCCGTCAAGAAATGGAATTTTCGGCAACGGCGACAATATTGCCGCAAGTAACACTTGGTGACTATAAAAAACTGAAGGTCACTGAAGAAAAAGTGACGGTGACAGCTGATGAAGTCAACGAAGTCATCGAGCGTATGCGTAGCGGACTTGCGGAAAAGAAGGATGTTGATCGCGCCGCCAAAAAGGGCGACGAAGTAATTATTGACTTCGTTGGTAAAAAAGACGGTACTCCATTTGATGGCGGTGCCGCAAAAGACTATGCGCTGGAAATTGGCAGCAATAGTTTCATTCCTGGGTTTGAAGAAGGCTTGGTCGGATTAAAAGCTGGAGATAAGAAAGATCTTGAACTTGAGTTCCCGAAAGACTACCACGTCGATGATCTTGCTGGCGCGAAGGTAGTATTTGAAACTACTATAAACAAAGTTCAGGAAAAACAACTGCCCAAGCTGGACGATGAATTTGCCAAAAAAGCCGGCGCGGACGAGAAAATTATTACCCTCAAGGGCTTGAAAGATGACATCAAGGCGCGTCTTAGCGAGCAAAAAGAACGCGAGGCGAATGAAAAGCGTAAAGACGCATTGGTTCAGGCGCTCGTTGAAAAAAGCGACGTGCCAGTGCCGCAAGTACTGGTAGACGACCAAGCCCGCAGTATCGAGCAGGATATGCAGCAAAACACGATGTATCGTGGCATTACGCTCGAGCAATACATCAAGGCGCAAGGCTTCAAAGACGAGGACGACTGGAAAAAGAAAGAAGTTATTCCAGCTGCCGAGAAGCGCGTAAAAGCAGGATTGGTGCTTGCAGAGCTTTCAAAAGAGTTGAAAGTCGAGGCAACGAGCGCGGAGCTTGCCGAGCATCTGAACACGTATCGCCAGCAATATGGCAACAACCCAGATGCTGTGAAACAGTTTGAACAGCCAGAAGTACAACGTGAAGTTGCGAACCGTCTGCTGACTGAAAAAACAGTAGATAAACTGGTTGAACTGAATAGTAAGTAGTTCAAGCTCAGGCCCTGTAT